TTATTACCAGAGAGGCAGGAAAAACCAGTAAGTTATAGTATTTAAATCATTGCATCCACATTCGGGAAAACTGGAGTAAAAACCACTATTGCTATGGAAACATGAAAAATGCTACCTAGACCAAATATGCCCTACACCTCATTGAAGGGCTCCTAGAGCAGCAGGTAGGCTCTATAGTTACACCAAATACACCTAATACTGGTATTCATGAGAGGATACCCAAAGTGCTGGCTCTAATAAACCACTAAATGGTGGCATTCATTTGAATGAGAAGCACCATGTCCACTTCGTATCTGACATGAATAGGACACAACTTTGGCTGTGCCCACATTTAATTATAAAGCAAAGAGCAGCTCATGGTGCTTTCCAGCCCTGATCTGGATGGCCTATTGTATTACAGTAAAAAATAGCCTTTTCAGGCAAACATACTGATGGTCTGGAGTCTGTACAACAAACATCTCTTAACATGAGAACAATAAAATTATTTTCTGGACGTGCAGATCAGAAAACCAAACCAAAAAAACACCCTCACTTCTGCTATCAAGCAAATACACAAGTGTTGAAGACTTTTTTTGTAAAATTTAAGAGGTAATGGTAAAAGTATTAGCTTGATTGCCTGCTCCTCAAACTCTGGGGATTTAATTTTGCTGCTCTATTTATATTTGCCTTTGTAAACCAAAATTTGATATTCACAGTACATAACAATTTTCAAATTTTAACTTTTTTTTCATAGTGCATTTAAAGCTATGAGGAATGTACAGTAACTGCTGAAAGAGTATTAGGCTGTGGACTGTTCTCTTAGACTCCATCTGTCCCAGTAAACTCACTCTAAATTTTGATGCCATATTATTTTGTCAATGCAGTTTTGTCTCAGTAACTGCATTAAAACCTTTTGATCAAACACTCAGTGACACTACACTTCCCTAACCATCTAGTCACTACGTATATTGTTAGAACAAAACTTTTTGTAGTAATACATAAATTGTTTAAAATGCTGTCAAACTACCACAAGTTTTTTCACTTGGAAAAAGGAGCACTGGACTACAAAGCAAGGGACATCACTTTTCCAGCAGCATTATTAATGGAGACTATTTTAGTCTTCAGTGACAGGGAACGACTGTAGCATTTTTTCAAGTTCAGAATAGAAAATAACCGTACTTGCAAGAATTCAATTGCTCTGCATTAAAGCTGCCATGGGGTTACTGTACATTTATACATCAGAAAGTCAGTAAATTATTTTTCTATAAATTAGTCTCTCAAAGATGATTTTTTTTCCCTTTCTGTTCTGAATGCCAAACTCTTGACTGCTTCTCCACTACAGAGACTTCATATCTGGATAGCCGACATCTGTAAAAACATTTCTAATGAAAACACTACTAATACAACCCCCTGGAGAAACAAATGAAATGAGATCTAAGTATGCAGCCGCCTTTCTACAGCTCTGTCTTTAACAATAGTGAGGCTAGTGCTACCCATCCAAGCCTTGACACAGGTCACGATCATTTAGGCACAGTAGTAGCAAAATAAATAATTGTGTAAATATGTAATAACTGGTATAAATACTCCAGTAGCACTTAGAAGATATGATAAAGGACTTCTGTTTTTAGCCGTGCATTAACGTTTATCTCGGTGGATGGAAGGGAGAAGCATTTAAACAGCAATGAAGGAGATCTGCAGACTGAACACTTGAAAGCTCAGTGCCAGATACAACAATCCTTCCTTTCCGCAACAGCAGTTTAGAAAGTGTATTAGTGTTAGAAGTGTTGGATCACTGCTGAAATATTATAGAACACCAGTTAGAGATTCACTCCAAAATAAAAAAAATACTATAAAGATCATTAATTTAACTATATACACTTAAATAATTCAGACTCAAAGCAAAATGAAACTGTTTCTGAAATAATTGGATATATTTTTTTCATAAATATAAGCATTCCATTGCTTTAATATGTAAATAACAATTTAGACACAATTTTTCCATGAAACAGTCTAACAATTATCAGGGGAAAACGATCTATTCCTTTGTAAGGTTTCTCAAATCCTAGCGAATATTCCACATCAATCAAACACTACTCCCTACTTTTAAGCCTGTAGTAAGTAATTTGAGGCAATAGCAAGTCCTCACCACTGGAAGAAAAATTACCACATAAAGACACAGGGAGGGATCCTCTGCCTGAAGATCATAATGAAAAAACAACAGTGTTTCTAAATGTCCTGATTTCAAAGTGGACTAATGCTTGTGCTAGACTAGACTGTGTAAGTACAGGCTATAATCAAATTTTCCTTATTCAAAGGGAACTGCAAGTTCTGGGCCCAAATCCTAAGGCAGATGAAGCTGGAACTGATTTGACATGGAACTGACACCCCCATCACCCAGGTTCACATAAATGTATCAGCAGGAAAACTTGTTTTGAAATAATTTCATCAGCTTCCCTAGTGAAACCTGGGTGCAAAAAAATCAACAGCACTTTGCCAGAATTCCAGGACAATCTAGCACTGTTTTCTCTGGCCTACGGAACCAGGACTAAACCTGTAAACACAGGTCTCACTTCCAGCAGCCTTTTCATGCTGGGTAAATTAAAATGGGCTTCTTATCCCATGCATTTGTTTGAAATTACATTTCTTGTGCAATGAAGAGAGATTAAGATAAAAATTTTGAGACATTTCTGATTAAAAAACGGTATTTGGTCTTTCCATTGAATAACTCTAAGCTCTAAAATGGCTTTGAGATAATAAAAAGGCAAATGGAACCCACCATAAAAATTTTCTTTGAAAGTCAGCAATATTGAGCTCATGTCTACTATACATATCTACTATAAACATATACATTGCTTCTGGACTACTTCAGACTGAAGCAGAGACAAATTGTGCTGGAAAAAATTAAATTGAAACATACAACTTAGATTAATTTCCTCATTCTAATACAAACAATGAACACTATGAGTAATAATAAAACAAAACAAATATTCCATTTTTAAATTGTTTTAATAACAATAAAATTTATGCTTTGCACCTTGTAAGCTGTGATCTTTCAAATGGCTAAATGAACTCAAATAGCTTAAATTATGAAGTTTAAAAATGTTGCTAAAAAACAAGCATTCTATGTTTCATTTACTCAGTACTTTAATTTGCTAGAAAGAAAACTCATTTCTTTTTAAAACATACAGCAACATGATTGTAATTTTTTACATGCCACAGAAGAGACCCAGTTAAAAGAGTAATTATTAAAAACAAAAAGTGACAACTTTGATTAACAAGTTTATTATTTTATAAATTCAAGCACTAAAGACTGTCATATGACTGGAAATAGTAAATAAAACTATTTGCTCAAATACATAGTTTAAAAATAAAGGCAAAGTCCTTAATATTTACTTGAAAATCGAATTTTATTTCATAAAATAATACACCTGAAAAGTCATAAAATACCAGTTCAAAAGCCAACCAGTTAAGAAAATTTAGTCAACACTGTCTTTGCAATATTTAAGTCTCAGGCACCCTCCAGTGTCTAGAGAAGAAACTACACAAGTGAGCGAGCATTTGAAGAAAAAAAGCCATGAACAAGCTTTCCTGTCAAGATAGAAGCTCCCTGCATAATTTACAATAATTGCATATAACCCTGCATCAATGATATGACACAGCATGATGTAAAAAGTATCATAAAACTGCATTTCATGGATTTCTGTGGGATTTAAGAGGGTGATATTTTCTTTGCTCGTGGAGAGGGATCTCTAAGCACTCTACTTAGAAAAATTTCATTTATAAAAGCATTTCTTACAGAGTCTGGTATTGAGAAGTATTCAAGTATTCCTCAGGGAATATGATCTCAATGTTTATACAGCTTGTTTGTAACTTTTCTAAGGAGTCTAAATAAATAATTTATTTAGCAGGACCTACACTCATGGTAAGGAGGAGGACAAACAATGCATGGAGAGGTAAAGCCAGATACAAATACCCCTCCTCCCATTTTATAATTAACACCACACTCAACAGGAAGGTCGTATGTATACAAGCCTCTCTATGAAAGTTCATTGATTTTATGCAAAAAACCAAAACTACTATTTTTTCCATTGGTATCTTCATTCATTCTAAAAGTAATAAATCCCAAGATGATTTTTGTACTTGACATTCAAATGGAAACACTTTTGACTATGGACAGACAAAAATGCCTATTGAATGGACAGTGTTGTAAATTAATGTTATTAGGTCAATCTACCAAACCTAACAGAAATGGAATGGAAGCTGGAAAACAAAAGTTTTTCAACTGTGATTATGCACAAACTGACTTTAATTGTGGATTTCTCCCTTGCATGCTGTTTGTACTTCCACAACCAAACAAAATTTTACATACAATTTAAGTGGTAAGGAGGTAACATGTTTTGAAATACACATTCAGTAACCTTTAAGTGGTTACATTCTGATTAAAGAAAACATCTTGACTTAGAAAAGCTCTTGCTTTATGTTTGTATTCAGAATTATGGCTTCAAGTAGCTTTCCTCATTAGGGATTGATATAAGAATGCACGTACACTTTTGAATAAGGTCTTCATCCTCCTGGGTATACCCTTACCAGGACATGTGCGAAACTGCTAGGGCAACCCTGTACAATCAGGCTAGTTAATAACTGATTTGGCTTCAGTTTCATGAAGTTTGATTTTCTCCCCCTTTATACTCAAAACCTTGTCTCTTATTTACCGACTGCTTCTCTGACTGGGAAGCAAAAATTTATTACTTTTCATTTAGTAAAAGAACTAACATTGGGTCAGTGCTTTAGCTCAGTTCAGAATTAAGAGTTTTGTCAGTGAAAACAGCTCATGTAATTTTGCCCTAGTATAGCTGAAGAGATATCTTTAAAAATTGAATGAAATCATAACATTGACTAAAAACCTCTTAGAATCAATATCAAGAATATTACAAATAAACCTAGTCAGGATGATGCAAAAAGAAGTAGGAAATATTTCAGAAGAGGATACACAAGATAAATATATTTACACACACACAATTATATATATACATATGAGTATAAAAACATTAAAAAACAGTCATTGCCCCCCTAAAACTTACAACTGTGCTTAACTTGACATGTTGCAAATATTTACACTGACTTCAAGGAGAGCTGACCATAATGTGCAAAACAAAGCATGATGTTACATAATTTGCAAAGTACTGTAGGCTTATAAAAGTCACTCTGTTCAGATTCTGGCTCATTCTAAAAACTTTTTGCATGCTTTCAAACGGTGATGTTCCTCTTTGCAATAGCTTCTCTGATTTGACGATCAAGTTCACTTACAATATGATCTTCATGATTATAGACTCCTGTTCTCAACAGGGTATCCCTCTCTTCTATCAGACGAGAGAGGTAATCACCTGCATTGTCATTTAGTTTTCTACAATGAAGACTATCCACTCTACCAGCAGAATTATCTCTAGCATCCTGCAATTTCTTTCTCTCTTCTTGTTGCTTTAGCCTGATATTGATAAAATAGAAAGAATTAGAGAATATTAATCCCCAGTTTGAATATCTTTGTATTATGTGTTTAGTTTACCTACTGAACTACTAAGTAAAATAAAGAAATCTGTAAAAGGTAAAAATTATTCTGTCTCTGGGGAAAACAACAACTAAAAGAAATACTAATATAATACTAAAATATTAACAAAACGTTTTGTATGTGCATATGTAACTATGATACTCACTATCAAGGCTTCTGCTTGGTAATGTAAACTGTACTCAAATTAAAAGGGTTCAAGACACAAACTAGTGCAGACAGTTTTTGGAGGACAACATTAGATAAATTTAAAATTTTAATGCATTCAAAATAAGAATAAAATGTGCCCTGTTCTTTTCTTAACACAGCAGCTATGCTTAGAACTGAAGGTTTGAAATAGAAAAAAAAGCTTAGTAATGTACATCTATGACCTTAAAAACTAAACCAAGAGGTGTTAAACATGGATTTTTCTATACTGCTTTACTGTTGTTGCATTTTACAAGTGTCCTGTCTTTACCTAAGGGACACTAAACTGTGTTCTTTCACTGAACTGATGGCCAATTACAATCTTGGTTTAATTGAATATTCTCCTGCTTTGAGACTGACAACAAGAAAAAAGAAGGAAAAGGGACAGTTGGAGAGGAATCTTACAAATACTTTTTATACCTGTTAAGTTCATTTCTGATATCCTCCAGCTCTTGTCGGTCTGTTTTTCCCAGCTCTTTTTCTTCTGCTGCCAAATAGCGCAACCTCATGTGCTCCAGCTCTTGCTGCTGCTTTTTAAGGTGAGCCATCGCATTTTCCTGTTCACGCTGTGTGGGAAAGGGTGAACATAACTCAGTTGACTATGCGATTACATGTAAAAGTGCTAATTATAGCAACAGAGCAGAACTTTAAGAATGAAGTAATGACAATTACATCTCCAGGAGTATTACAAACGTAGGGGTTAATGTTTTAGCTAGATATCTATAATGCTTAAGACTAATGACTATCACCATCACAGTAAACATGTCCAGGCCGGATCAACTACAGCACAAACACAGATATCTTCCCATTAACAAAACAGCAAAATTATTAACAAACCCTCTTACCACCTCTGGCTTAATTTGATAGACAGAAAACTTACACTTCTGGAACTGCACAAGCTACTGAGATGTCTTTCTTCACTATTTGGTATATGAATTTTTTTTTTGTAGAAAATAAAAACTAAAGAACTGCGGGAAACTTCCATCAACAGCCCCATAGTGCCTAGTACCCAAGCTTCAAGAACCGCTTCTTGAAATTATAACTTGTGGTTAAAAAGTAAGCCTTGGAAACAAAATTCTGGCACTTGTATAGCACTGTGTAAAATTTTAGGTAACTTATTTTGTGGATTTAATGAAATCAGTCTATCCATTCTAAAAGTTTGCCTGGCTCTAAGTTTGTAAGCTCTATACACATACTAAAAAAACTAAGGTTTGAATCCACTACCACTTCATGACATTAAAGTGGTTTAGTAAATGTGGTCCTCTCTCCGCTTATTTTCCATATGACCTTGTGCACTGAGTACAGTCAGTCTTACACCCAGAATAAGGCAGAAGACCTCAGGTAGTTAAAAAATAAGACAGGAGGTTACACAAACATCCTGGATCTGGGCCTATCATGAACTGCAAGCTTATCTATGCAATTCTGACATTGCTTTCATCTGGAGTGTTTGATTATTAATACAATCAGTATTGTATTTATAATGCAGGTTAAAAAAAAGGGGTTTTTTTGTTTGATAAGCATATTATTTATACAGTCAACCTCATAATATTTAAAGACTTTAATCAGGTAGTTTCCTGCATTCCAGCTGCCAGCATTTTAAACACTCCCTGTTGATCAATAATGGGCAAGAAAATTCTGAATTTCAGAAGGAATTGGTACTAAAAAAAGACTTTAACTGTTAATGTGAACAGACAATGCAATAGAGAAGTACTCAACAAGAAATCAACCTTAAAGACTCTAAAAACTTTGTTTTTATACTATATTTCATACACTAGGCAGCCAAATTAAATGTTAGAACTTCAGTAAGACAGGTTATAAATCTTGAAGAACATCTTGCTAAAGAGATACATACTAATAAAAAAACCAGAAGCAGGAATCCTGCCAAAGAGTCTACAGCTGATAGATGACTGAAGCATAGAAAAAGCACTTGGTGAAGATAAGGCCATAGTCCTTCCTTCCCCATCAAGAATTCATTGCAGAAGGGCATTCCTATGTGAGAGAAACACTTTTTTATGTGGGAAAGAGTTGAAGAATACTATAAAACCTATTCTGCTTTAGCCTGAAAATAATCTACAAATACATACAGTAAATGTTTAAACAAGTTATTACAGACTGCTGATATTTAGAATTTTCAAGAGCAATAAGGAAATTCAAACAAAAAGTTGTGATACTGACTGGAGGTTAGTCTTAATCCTTCACCAAAACTGCTCGTGACACCACAGTTTTTCCATTTTTTATTTTACTCTGTCCTTAAACAGAGGCTTTAGAAATACCCAGAAAGTACCAGCATAACTTAACTTCCATAGCAGCTGAATTGGTTGAAACCACAACTAAATCCAAACCTAATAGCGTATATGGGTACAGCAGGAAGAATGAATCTAACTTTTATAGAAATGTCACTCTTCCTGCTGAACTTAAAAAACCCAACCAAACAGCAAAGAAACCTCCTACCAAACACACAACTAAGCAGTCACAGAGAAAAGTACTCCCAGGGCTTATAACACCAGGAAAAGAACAGCAACTGATCATCTCCACAAGAGCAAGAAGGTAACAGTGGAATTCTACAACAATCTACTCTTCAACATATACATAGGGATTTTTTTCATTTATGGCAGTTTGCTGCTGATATAATACAATTCAGTGGGGAAAAAGCAGAGGTATAAAGAATGGGACATTATAGACACAAAAATGAAAACGAAACAGGTAAATATACATTTACTTATGTCCATTAAAGACAATAGCCTGACTGGATCACAACGTACTTAACTGACTGACTGAGGGCTGCTGGAGGCTATTCAAAGATACCCAAGCTACTGCTGGCCTCTGTATGGACCAGACTGACATTTCACATCAGTTCTACTAGTTCCCACCCAATGAAAGCATGGATGAAACTCAAAACTAGGTATATTCCAACTAGAGACATAATTCAAGTTATTAAAAGAGTAGAAATTAATCACTTAAACATATACTAGAGCATGCTAGGAGCTTCTTGATCACAGAAAGTTTTGAATTAAGACAAATTTATGCTTGGAAAAAAAAAAAAAGATACTACATATAGAGCAGTACTGTTGAAGTATTTGAAAGAAGAGGCAGAGTGGGTTTTGTTGTTTTTTTTTTCCCTGAAGTCCCAGCAAATATCACAACAGCATCCTCTGGCTCCCAAATATGGAGATAGGCAATAGTACCCAAACAGTAAATCCATATTTCAGTATAAAACAGGCTACAAAGAATAACGGAATAAACAGGCTATGAGGAAGAATAGAATTATCATAACTATTTTGACAGCTGAAATAATGTTGTTTATTTTGCTAAATTCAGGTAGTAAGAAAAAACTTTGACCATGATATTGTCTTACGCAGGTTGCTACAAAACCAGCTCAACTTCAGTTAACAGAACAAGTATATATATTGACAGTCAATCTGATTACCTCAATTACATAGAATCTAGAAGTATGAGGACAAGCTAATATTTACATCTTCTTGAGACCATCAATCCCTATTCTCAGTGTCCCCATTCAATTTCCTAGGCTAAATCCTTTACAAAGTTAAGAAAATTAGAACACCACTGCTTCAGAAAAAAACCCCAAAACTTTGTGACTAAAACCTTAACTCAAACATGAGACCTAGAATTTTGAGTATTCTAAAACACCTTTGTGGAGTCCTATTTAGTCTCAGGGGAGGACCTCTTGACCTGTATATGTAGAACAAATCCAGAAATTCCTATGTTTAATATCTGTCTTTCCAGGTAAGAATCCAGAAATTCAGCCTGCTGATTAGCTACTTCTCCAGAGTCAACAACAAGTGTAAGAAACTTAACACAGATATCACTGAAGTAGATACAGTATACCCTGCATAACCAAATTTGTGGCTCTGAAATTAATTTGTCTAGTACATCCTGGCTTTATCTAACAGCAGTAAGCCTTGATGGACTCTCAACAAATTATAAAAGAATGTAATTTACAAGAAACTGACTTATCTGTAGGAAAACCATCTTGTTGCTGTGGAGGATGAGAATGACATTTTCCTCTTAGATGATGTCAAAAATGTAACACTTTTACACAAGAGAGGACTTTTAATTGCCATTATCTCTTTTATCAGCCTTTCAACTTATGCTGATTTGTAGTATGATTAGTTTCAGTCCAACACATTTTTTTGCAGATCATGAGACAAGGATTAATTTTAGGAAACTCCTTGTTCTGCAATTCAATTTATTCATGCTCTCATTGTCCCGTTTTAAACTGGGGTACTGATCATTACAAGCTGGGATATTCATCTTAAATCTGTCAAATTTGTGTATCTCAAAAATTTTATGAGAGAATTAATTTTGAAGGTACATTGTGTAAAAATTGACCAAAATCTAAATACTGCAAAACTAATGCAAAACAGAGTAGCACTTGTTACTAGGGCAGCATGCTTTCACATAAACACAAATCATCACATAGATGTGATTACACTGAGTAGAAGCCTTCTAATCCAGTCCTTCAGTTTGTGAAGATCTATGAGGGAAAATTTTGAAAGTGTTCTTCCACTGGCATTGCAGAAGGAAGGCATAACTGCATGCTGGCCAGAAGCAGCATGTAGGACCACAGGCTTCATGACACGCTGGTGTACTACTGTTTGAGGCAGGGAAATTCAATGATCCATATATGCCATTGTGTGCATGTTGCTGGACAGCAGGAAATCAGAGTTCATTTCAGAGCCATAACTTTTCAAGAAATATTTTTAATAATATCTAATTAAACCATGAAAAAGACAACAGAGAATGATGAAGAAGCTAAGGAGAGACGAAGGAAAAGCAAGGTTTTTCTGCAGAATCCTCTGTTCAGTTCCTGCTATTTTTGATATTTTTTCTCTGGAGAAAAATTCTAGCAAAAAACCCATCAAACACAAAACTAACCAAAACTAGTGTCACTAGTGAGCATGCCCTTTGCTAAGGATAATAGTCCTAGATTTGTAGGGCAGCAAGATTAAATATAGCGTGAGCTTAATTCTTGTTTTCTCATTAGAGGAGAGAAAAACCTTTATCAGTACATTTTGTCTCCAAGCTAATGTTGGGTAGCAATTCCTTTCAGATAAATGTGATTTGATATTTAATTTGATTACTAATACAATTGTGATGTACTTACTTGGTGTGTAGAGAGAAAAGTCCAAATTAATTTAAGTCACTGAAAGTCAAGAATTTTAGAGGCATGCCATGCTATGGCCCTGAATAGCAACATTTAGGCACAATGATATTAAATTTAAAAAATAAAAATCAACATTTGCTGAAGCAAGATTTTTCTATCATTCAGTTCATGACAGTTCAGCTTGGAAAATAGAGACTAAAATAAGTGAGAAGGGATTCTTTCATGATGGATCCTGTGTGCAATTTACATTACACACTTCATATTCTGTGATTTTCAAATGTCTTTCCCAACATTAGTCTTTGACTCCTTTAAAAAGTCTGTCATAACAATTTGTAGGGTGCATAACAGAAAACTTGTTCTATGTACACCATTCATAGCAGAGCAAGAGAAACCCATTTCCTAATAATCCATCAATACAAGAAGATGTCAAAGGATTTACAACAGTTTGATAAGAAAGGAGGCATGCTCACTTTAAATTAATTTATATGCAATTTTGTTATGATATGTTGAGAGAACATAAAAAGACTGTATTTTGTTATGGTGAGAGAGAAGGAAGGATTTCTTATTCATCTCAGTGATGAAACTGGCGTCACTTCATCAGACACTCAGGTATTAAATCCACTTTTCCCATGACAATATAAGAATCCACTGAGCAACAAGCACTTTCCTTTTTTAAATAGAGAAGGAACAGATCTCTACTGTATAGCAGGACTTGAAATGTAGTAGAATTTACTATGAGATGTTTCGAAGCAAAAAAAGCAGTATTAATAAAACAATTCTGCACATTTACTTTACACATAAAATTAAGTCCATAATTTCTAAATCCCCTTGTACCTTCCCTTTGTTATATTCTGTGCATACTGAAAAATTAAGTCATAGTTGAATACTTGGTATTCTTCAAGTGTATCTTAGTTGCACACAAGTTTATACATGCTGCATGCTGAAAATTTTCAGTCAAGACTTTCTGGCTAACTTTTTAAACTTTACTCTTATAATATATCCTAAAATAAGGAACATTCCAGATTTAATCCCAACTGCTTATTCTAGACAGCCAGGCTATTTTAAATCTCAGTAAGAAGTATTAGAATTTTTGTTTCAAAACATATTGCATTTTTAAATTTCATCTAAGAGAACACTCCAGAATCATCAGCTGTTGGACTACAGGCAACTTGGTAAATAGAATATAAAACCAGAAACTCAGAACAGTCAGAAATATATTACACTTGCACCATCATCCATTCATCAGCCACTATTCCACAGTAAGGCAGCAACAGATGAATCAAGAATATTGTATGCAAGAATATTAAGAATTCTCTGCAATATGTATTAGTTGGTCCAGGTACCTTCTCCTGCACTACTTTCTCAGCACTGCTAATCCTACTATTTCTTTTGCTCCTTTTTCTTCAGCCCCCCACTTCCTCCTGCAATAAAACTCATCACAAATATTCCTTTCACTTATTAATTTCATCTTGCCATTCTCCTTCACAAACAAAATAAATCATGCTAAACAAATCTGCATTCTAATTATCAGATAATTTACTTCAAGGTTTTACTAGTTTTCTTCACAAGTGTTCATCCATAATGTAGTGCTTCAGAAATGGAATACTGTTTTAGAAGCTTGTGCAGTGGAAATCTCAATCACGTTTTGAAACCTATGATTCTACATAAACATCAGCATTTAATAAAAATCAACCAATAATAAAAAAATCATCAAAATTTGAATTATAATCAGATCATTAAAGAATCCCTGTATGCCACCAGGTGCTTTAGTTAAGAGGCTCTTCAATCAAGGAAGCACAATCTTTATTTTGCCATAGCTGCCTATAAATCCAAAAGGGAGATGTAAACATACATACACTAGACTAAACAATGGCTAAATAGCAGCCACTATTCACTCTCCCACTCATACATACCATGCAAGTCTGTGGGAAAAACTTACGATTGAAACTAAGGAACTCAAGTAAAGTTTTCTGAAAATAACCCAGAGCTGACAAGTCAGTAGGAGGGCCTGGATGGTTTCAAGACACAGTTTTTAACCAAGACTTAGACTTTCAACTGCAGGGCTTTTTTGTGTGCGTCTTTTTATTTTTTCAACAAAGATTTACATCCTATCCTTGGCTAAATTACTTAAAAATTAATCAAATTAATTACTGAGTGGATAAGCAAGATACTGCACAAGACAGAATGAATTGTCAGCCAGCCAATATGGTCTATGCTCTTTTAAACAAATACCTCAGTGCTGGTTCTAACAGGTCTATAGGACACAAACACATTAGAAAAGTTCTAAAAATATTTCCAGAACACTGGATGCATGTAAATTTTGAGATTTTGGCTATTTAGATTAAATCTAACTAAGATTACCAACTGCTGAAAATGACATTTCTGCCAGTTTTGATTTTTGTTTTGATATAATGTTTCTTACACCCAGATAGATACTAAATTTGATACCTAAGTTCTACGTAAGCATGGATGCAATTTCATGTAAATAGTTAAGATTCCTCTGAGAAATAATACTCATATAAATTTAAAAAAAAGTAAATCTCATTTGTGCAGTATTAAGAGCACCCAATCAGCAAACATTGAAAAAGTTTGTGAAATCTCCAGAAAATATTTACCTGGGTGCACAGGTATATAACTAATTTGGTAACATTTTTGTCTCCCTAGAAGTTGAATAGCGTTATAACAAATAAAGTATTAATACAGACTTACAGAGTAACAGTATTAATACAGAGTAGCAGAGAAAAGTAAGCTGGGTGAAGTCTACTGTCACTCAGTTTTACAAACTGTTTAAATTTCACTAACTTCTGTATTTTCTAAGTACAGGTAAATATGATGTATGCGTGCGCTCATGTACTTCAGTAAAACTGGCACTGTGTTTGGCATTCAAAATCCTACCCATGGAGAAGCACAGATCATATTCTATTAACGGTCCTGTACTTTAAGTTATGTGCTATGTCTCTTGTATTCTGCAAAATATAAAACTATGCCAGATGTGTGCTAAGAACTAGTTCCAAAGTAAAAGAAAACTTTTTAATTAAGGAAACATTGACTTTTATGGTTGCAAATCAGAAGAGCATTTTACTAAATGCTTAGCTTGTAGATTATGCTTCTTTAATTCACAAATTGACTGCACCAGGTCACCTTTAAGTAATGGAAATCTCTGTTTAAACATTTTTTTGGCAATGGGCACAAAGCATTAGATCTCATTTCCAAGACTTACCAGCTGGGTTTTGTCATTAACATTTATTAACAATCTAAGATATGGCTTTCAGCGTCTAATCCTCACTACACAAATGTTTTGTATAGTTCTCTAGAGAGCTTTGGTGTGACAAATTACTGGCACAGATTACAGCCCTGTAGCTATTCACCAGAGGCTATGCAAAATTAACATGGTACTAATCCAATTCAAACAAGAAACTGGTCAGACTATGCACAATTGCACAAATCATCTGAACTAAAGGAAATCTAGAATTCCTTAAGCTACAGTTTCCAAATTTATATTTAAAACACAGTAAATTTTTTTGATCAGATTTGCTTCAACTTTTATTTGGCTCTTTAAAGTCAATTAAGGCCTTTATCAACAGACTGAGTATAGGCGAAGCACAGGAGTATAAAAACCACAAACTACTTCGCAAGGGTTTGTTCTGTTGTAGAAGTTTTAGGTAGCACAATAGACTGTACATGCCAACTTATTTTATGGTTCAGACTTTCATCAAGAGGCTCAGTTGAAACCATCAACAGATATTAACAAATTCAGATCATCAGGTCTATTGTGATGACTTTTGTTACAAGAACCTGATAGTGATATACATTAGTGTTAGTGTGGTAAGTAACAATCTTTGCTTTTATTCCACAAGAATTTTAAAACATGGCAAGAAAAAATAGGCTGGATATTTCGTGATTGCTGAAGAAATCTTAATCAGTGGGCTAAGATTTGTATTCTTACTCCTATCACCTTCTCAAGCATAGATGTTTCACGAATTGGAGATGACTCCTTTTATCACTTGGCAAAAAGGTACAATTTGAAGACTGCAAATGAAGGTTAGTTTTAACTTACTAATAATGACTATTGTCATTATTAATAATCGACTCTCTTCAAACAATTACAGGTTAAAGAAGCTTTATAAAATTAGAAGAGCATGGTAGAAGAGGAGCTTAACTTCTTACTCTCCAAAATCTGAATGTTCTATCAGTAAAATGAAGTAGGTACCATAATCTTTAAGAAAACTCAACACTCTTCCTCAAGCTGGAAGTAAGTGTGAATACAGGCAACAAAAACCTTTGACTAAACTTGAATTCTTTGTGTTGACATCAAGGCTTGTTCATGAATGAATTGGGATTAATGATTTACTAATTTGTTTCCCAGGGCCAATGGAAATGCCATTCTTAAGCACATTGTTTAGCTAATGTTTACTGGAGTTCATGAAAGACAGATGATGACAAAACAACATGTAATACAGATTCAAAATATATGAAGCTGCTGCTACTGTAAGTTCAAAGAAATTTTAAGTCAAAAGTATGTAACTGTCTCTAGATAGGTGCCCACAGACACACAAGAGCTCCGTTAAAATCTAGCAGTAAAATAGTCTGTCAAATTAATATGAGGTCAGAATTTCTGGAAACAGAAAATTTTCACTTCCAGTTTATGTTAAGTTTTCTTCATTTTACAGCATTCATCAAAACTTAAACCCTTATTTCTAAAACTGAAGATTTGTTTCTCACCTTTACCTTTCATTATACAATGAAAATACAAAACAGTTATTAAGACTGTAACTGACTGAGACGGTTGGGATTGTGTCAAAATATTTTAGTGGAAGTGCTCATGAAAAATTATTTGGGATTACATTAAACCTTTTATTTTTTAAAATCACATCTGCTTTTAACTATTTCAGCCTTCTTTGCAGGTCTGAGCCTTGGCTTTTCCTGAGTTTAAAGTTAAACACAAGCCAGTTTTGCTGTTCTCATTTTTGTTAAAAGCATAGCTGAGAGCTTTACTTTGCAAAAACAAACACTAATAACATGAAAACGGTAGTTAATGGTAATCCTAGTAGCTTCCAACATGACAATAACTTGGTTGTCTCATATGACCAAAGAAAACCTGCATACCTGTTTTAACCTTGCAAGTTCTTTCAAAGCCCTTGTCCATTGTTGTTTGTAGTGGAGCTTTGACTTGGTAGCTGACTCTAACTTTCTTTCAAGTTCAACCTAAAAGCAATTAAAATCATATCAGCTGAAGAAATAACAGCAGTAACAATCACTGAAAGATGTATATATACAAAGGGTCTGGTTTAAGAAAAGTGTTTATGTAGCGTAATATACAACATCATCTAAAGCTGTTATACAATATAACATAAATATTATGGCACAAGAACATTTTCTTGTTTAAAATATAACCTTATTTTTATTGGATGGCCGTCTATACAAAAAGAAGAAGATTAGTTTTTAGCACTAAATCTGCTGATGTAACCTTTAAATTTAAGGCTGTCAAATCAGCCATCTCCTCATCCCTTTTTTATTCAAAGTAAGGCTATAAACACTAATTTAACAAAAATGCTGATGGATAAATCTCTCTTAAAAAGGTACATAGATTTTTTTTAGTTTGCTGACAGAAGACATGTTCAACATTCTTTTCTCTGAAATACCCATCTGCTCAAACCATTCTTTAAAATCTCTGTATCTAGTGTGAACTTTTGATTTTACTAACTAAATAAATCTTTAAAAGATTTTATCACTAAAATTTCATTATCTGTGCAAAAAATTTTCGTATTAAAAGACAAACGAAAATATTTATGAAGCACACAAAACACAATACAAAATTAGGTATTTTTAACATCTCCGAGGAAGTGGATTTTTTTTCATCTAACAAAAATTTTCATTTTATTTGTGAAGATCTTAAAGCAGTGATTCATTTAATTAATCTAACAAAAATAGGAAATCTAAAAATATTTAATATACAACTTTAAAAGTCTGTAGAAACACAAAAATATTTTGCATCAGTTGCTTGCATAATTAGAAGTTATTAAACCATACAGTAACATACAGACTGTCCATAGCACTGAGTGTAACTTGTGCAAAAAGCCTGGCTTAATTTTTTTTCAGCTTATTTCACCAATTTTACTCAAAGCTCACAATAATTCTGAGCATTAAATGCCCATATCTGTGGTTTTAATTAAATTCGCTACTGTGGAAATATACAGCTTTTAAGAAAATCAACTTATGACAGCAATTCCATTTTACTGAGAAGTAACACAATCTCTTTGCAGAAATACTTAATTATAAAAAGGCACATAATGGAAAACCAGTTTAAATTAATCGTCAAGAAAATCATGATCTTTCTTTAGTTTTTTTAAGCAGAATGTTCAGAGACCCCAGCATAAATCATGATTTAAATATACAGGTTAGACTTTTTCCTGTTTTAGCCTCTGACATTACTGCTTCCTCTATAGAAATAAGGCCACTGTTGACTTTGTTTATGTCTGAATATTTAAATGCCAAAGAAATAATTGGAAAAAGTAAACCAAAATGGACAAATTAACCACTTCATCTTACAGTATTATTCTACATCCCCTTTATCACTGAACACACCATCGTGACAATTTTTAAGTACTTGAAAAATCCAATATACCTTTTCTAAGGTGAGAAGATTTATTTCTGATTGTAGCTGGATTTCTGGTTTGCTACTTTGCTGTTCTTTGTATTGCTGGAACTCCTTCTCCAAAGTCTTATGCTTATTTTCTGCTTCATAAAGCTACATTAAAGAAACCAAAATTCAAGTTAGAAGAAAAGCCCATTCACAGACAAATAATTAGATTATAGAACTTAAGTTACTTCTTAGGTCCTGGAACAAACATTTTACTGTCAATAAGCTGATATAAACCAGACACTGAAAGTTACACATTCATAATTAATGATTTCTTGATGATGGCACACAGCAATGTTTTAATAGGAAGAGTTTTAAAGAGAATCTTTGCTCAGTACTGGAAAGAAAAAAAACAAGTCTGTCCTCATAAACATAAGATCAAGATTTACGCACATTTTTGTCCACATTTCTAAAACAACTTGCAAAAGCAATACAGAAAGCATAATGCTAAGATTTACACATCTTTTAAAGAAAGCCAGCGTTATCTACTATATGAAGTTTTATTACTTACTCAATTTCACAGCAAAACTTTTTTAGGAATGTCTGCAAAAGGAAACGACTAATACTTTGTACAGCCAAATGATTTAGAAGAAAGCCTGAAGCAGAAAGGCTTCAGTGACTAATGACTTAATGCCGAGTACCTCTGCCCTCACAGTGTACTTCCACAGTTTCAAGAAGATTTTTATAGAGTGCTTTGCTTTTTACACAAAATGGGTAATTTGAAAAATGATGAAATACACAATTACTTGTTACAGAGAAAGTAAGGAAGTCAAATGTTTAAGAGCATTTTTTGTAATACATTAAATATACTAAGAACTTTTTGTAATGTTCTCTTCTTCTGTTAAATATTATTCAACTTTAATACACCTGATGGAACTGAAGTATTCCTTACCAGAATATGATCCTACGTGCTGATCTTGTATTTATGTCCAACTAGCTAATGCAAGTATTTCCATGAATTGTATCCAACAGTTTAAATACTGGGTGAAAATACTTCAGAGAACTCATTTCTGTTTCAAAGACAACAATTTCTACAAGTAAAACAATATTCTAATTTTTTGGATCTTCTAACTGGATCACCTCCATTTTTCTCCCAAATTTCTGCTTTTTGCATTTTTAATTGTTACAGAATGAATATAAGAAAGCAAAGATGTTTCCCATGGAGCCATACAAAACCAGAATTCACTGCCATTGTTTTTCTCACAGAACTACAATAACCTATTGAACTTGAACAAAAGATACTGCTGTTTAATTCCTTTCATTTTTACCTATTTATTTTTAAAGCAGACATACAGACATGATGCCAAAGACAGTATTAGAAATATCAGTTCTCCCTAGAACTTCTAGAACAATGTTTGACTTTTTTGCTTGGCTCTGGAAACACTTTCAAAAATTGAATTTCTCATGAGACCTCAGAAATGTGAACATGAGGAAACTATAAAAATCCCACAAATAAAGCACAACTTCCTTATTCAGAAAGTAAGGGTGATGTTCTTCAAGATGGATGCTTCAAGGACCTTCTCTTGTACAGAGTGGTGCTTACCTCAAAACAAGTTGAATTCTAGAGTTCTCTAAACGTCTAGGTGTGGAAATTGTATATTGACAAATACCTTTAAAAGGTATGAAATAAGATCACTTATTCCAGAACATTCTGTGTTAAAAAACCAAAAGCAGCAACACAAAAAAACCCCACAGAAACCAAAAACTCCACATCCAAAAAGGTCTTAAAAAAAGATTCATCTGGTAGCAACAGAAACTCTGTTTGCGTGCATTACAAAACACAGGATCTTAGAGTGAAGCTCCAAAGTAAGCAAACAAAACTCCACCCCCAACATAGCAAAATAAAAAAGCCTGTCTCACGCACAATATGTGGCAACAACCACCACATATTGAAGCTTAGCAGGAACAGCACAGAGGAAGACTGCCAGGATGCTCTGGAAAAAAAGGCCTTCATATAAAACAAGGGAAGTGGAGCTTGTATTTGGAAGAGAGACAGTATGACTGCCACCTATGCAGTCAGGAACAGTATGTTGCAGAGGCACTAAAGGATTCTTCATAATTATTAAGAAACAAGCTTCAATGAACAAAAATAAGTTTTTAAAAATACAAGACATAATTCAATTTTAGACCTCATTGCAATAGGATGTTGCAATACTAAATACTTTTAAAAAGGAATCATATGAGATCACGAAGAAAACTTTCATTGATGGCTAGTAAGTAAGCATGAAACATGATTCTGGCTAAGAGTACATATAACGTAAGAGTACATATAACCCTTGATGGTACTGATGGATATACCAAAGTTATATTTTTTGCAATTGCAAAATTTCAATTTTTTCTTATTTTCTCATCCTCTAATTTCAGCCATTGCTGCACCATAATACTGAGCTAAATGATCTTTGGTCTGACAACTGTATGTCTGTTTCTGAAAAGGAAAAATAAAATGATTGTGATGTTTTATTTAGAAAAGGTCTGTTGAAGCAAAAATGGTCAGTGGGAGCTGAAAGAATGAATTTAAAATAAGAATACCAGCTGATGGCAGTTGGCCATTAGAGCAAGAGGAACTACTAGTCTGGTCTGGACTGGTAACCGTGAATAACACAAAATGCAAAAGTGACCCATTTAATCCACTTATCACTTTGAAGAGGACTGCATTCTGAAGTTTGAAACTGTTCATCTCGATTCACTGACTGCTTGAGTAGAATAGTCAAAGGAGTATCTTTGAGGTTAGCAACATTTTTGTATTAGCTACCTTTTTAAGAATTTCACTGTACTGAGGTTAACATCTGCTAACAAGAAAATAAGTACGTTAATATTAGTGTTTAACACAGAACTAAAAAAAACACATGAAAATCTATACAATGCTTCCTAAATACAAAAATATGGCTTTGTCTGACATAGTTCTTCAAAAGGTGAAAGCTAATATGGGATTATCACTATCACTTATCAGACATGAAAAACACCAAAGCAAGTAATTAATCTACACAAACAAAATACTTTTCAGAACATTTCGGCATTAGTAAGATTTAATCTATGTAATAACAAATTAAGTGTCTAATGTTGTAACAGCTAAAAAAATATAAATATTTTTATAGTATACTTTACAGTCAGGAAAAATATCTCTACTATCCTTGTTGTTAGTGCCAAAGTTATCTTACAGGACAACAGAACACTGTCTAAATTTTCTATTTAGAAAGTACTAGTCTCAAAATAGAAGACTGCAATAACAAGAGAGTTTCTCCCTCTGTCCCAATAAGGATACAAGAAATATTCTTTTGCAATAGAAGAATAAAACTAACTGCATAGTCAAACTGCTTAGAAGTTAATTGCCAATAATTTTTTAAGTTACTGAAATTTACAGTGCTGTTTGGGTTCAAGTAATATATGCTTTTAAATAAAACTTGATTTTCAATGTTGAAAAAATAATTACAAGCACTGCACACTGGCCATACAACTGAGCAAGACAGACGTGGATGGATCTCAGTACAGAGTTCCCCCAATTTAAATGAAATGTTGGTTACAAAGTTGCCAGAATACAATTGCTCCTAACCACTGCTTAACTTAGTATACATAGAAAAATGCTCACTTTTATTAGAAAACGTAAGTGTGCTTACCTGCTGATGTAACCGAAGCTTATCTTCTTCCAGTTGTTTGATTTTTGACCTTTCTAGCTCTAGCTGGTGTGCACATTCCTCCCTGGCTCGACGCACAGAATCCTGAAGCACCTGCAGATTTCGTTCATGCTCTGCTTGCAGCTCCTTCTTTACTCTTTGAAGCTTAAAAAGACAGACATATTCATATTAATCCATAGGAGTGGGAGCTTCACTTGAAAGGTCTCTTACAACTGTTACTGCTATTCATGATAGAAAAATTGTCATTAATTTCTGAAACGAAACAATAAAATTCCCATTGTCCAAATGTTCACTATATATATATTCTTAGTGAATTTCAGTTTAACTAACAATCTGTCAATTATTATATTTGAGCTACAAATATAACTTTGGTTGACTGCTGTAAAAAACATAGCTCTCTGGAGCTCTTCTGTACATTCTACATGATTGCTCAGGGCAGGTTCTACCTTCCTACTACAATGTGAAAAGCTAACTACTTCAATTCACTGCAGAGACTTGAAAGTCACAGTCAAAATGTCTTTAAAGCAAATGTCTTTGAGTGAGACCACACTGTTCAAACTGAGCATATTGAGATAATTTCTCATCAAGCTAAACAGAAGAACAATCCTTGCCATGTTTGAACCTTCTAGAAAGATGCTACTATCCAGGATAACTGCTAACAGAATAGAAACCTCTCCAATGGCCCATTTCTCAAACTGTGCCATTTCTAACTGAATACTACATCATTTTGACCAGATGTTTTTTGAATCCACTGATTTTTATCATCTCTAGCTGTCAGGTCAGAATCTCACTAAATTTTGAGAAAATTTTTAGAGAAATATACACGAGATTCAAAATAACTACTTCCATTCAGACTGAAATGCACTTGGCCAAACCTGAGCACCAGATTCTTCTTGCACAAATGCTGAAGTCACCACATTATTTACAGCACAGACTGCATCCTGAGGTACAGATAGCCTGGATACTTAACAGGACACAGGCTCAGCCAGTCAATTCCTGTGTTGGGAGTTCTCAACTTTGTTACTCGCACAAAAGGGATTAGTAGGCTAGAAAAATTAATCTGAGTTACAAGGAGGAAAGAAAGTTTGTTGGACAGCTAGAACACACAGTGTTTCACATATATCATTTTGAGTTTGTTTTGAAATACAAGGATAGGCAGTTTATTTTCTCTTTTCATATGAGCAGCACTCCTGAAGACACACCCCACTTCCTCAGCTTGGAGATGTTCAATACAGTGGTAGTTACTGGTTTCTCCTGCATCCACTTTGACCCTGTCACTATTAAAAAAACTAAACAGATGTAGGAACTGTGAAAATGTTGGATAACAAAACCTGAAGTTTCTCCTTCTCCTATTTCAACAATTAATCTAGCAACTACTTTTTGAAGTGAGGCTTTCTTGTGTATGCACACAATACTTACCTGACAGTGCTAAACCTAAAATTAAGACATGCTAATATTACATAAATGCATGCACTGACAATATTTCTGTCAAGAATAGAAGGTTTACAGTCATGTAATTCTAGCAACCCATTTAAAAAGTTCACTGAATTTCTATTTCAGTAAAAAAAAAGTAGTTTTAACAAAACTTGGCTTAATTATTAGTATTCCCCTACATACCACTATGAATCTGGTTATTTCTTATACACAGAGCACAGCTGTCCCTATGTGAAAACTCAAACTTTACAGAAGTAGCTAATGCAATTACATTGTTTAATATGAACAGTTTTTACCTCTGATTCAGCACTAAAAAGCTGTCGNTATCCAGATCTCTCAGGGTTTTCTGAAGTTGTTCTTCCAAAACATTATATTCTGCTACCTAAACAAAGAAGAAAAAAGTATGAAATACTGATAGTTTTTATTTAGAAATTTCCATATAAAACAAATCTCCAGCTCTTAATTAAGAGCTTGTAATGGAGAATCCTTCTAACTCGGTATAGGCTAATGGGTTGTCATACACAGCCACGCCATAAAAGGACTTTTCAACCAGGCAAGTAAAATGCAAAAAAGGAGCTCCCATACAGAGCAAACTAACTTAAGGAAATTTCTAACAAATATTCTATGACTAAACGCTACTTTTAATTCTTTGCACTGTTGTAGACCAGATGCATGCATATCAGTAGGTGCAAAGGCCAACTACAGACCCTTTGTTATGTTGCCAAATGTACTGTTAAATTTACAATAATTTAGAATTTCTGCAAGTATAAGGAGGAATTTCATTACCTTTTTCTTCACCAATGCCTCTCTTTCTCTATCTCTTTTCTTCCATTCCTCTGCAAGTGCTTGCATATGGACCATTTCCTTTTTTTTAAGCTTTTAAAGGAAAAAAAGAGAAACAAACCCCCCAAACCAGATAAAAATTGTTGGAAGTGCACCTTTAGACTATTAGCAGACCTAAGTCTTGAAATGAGAGTTTTGTATGTTGACTTGTACAGCTCAAGATATGATTCTGATAGATTTCTTATACTGAACTACAAAATGCAAAAGTAAAAGCATGTTTGAGAAAAATATCCAAAGAGGTACTAGATTTTCACTGCCTTTTAAAAAGAAGCATGCAAACAAAAACACTTCGAATGACTTCAAGAGTAGACAGCAATGGTTTTAGAGATGTGATTAAAGGAATACAGAATTAGTATTTAACATCAATAGTTTGATTCTTCAATCTACTGTACTTTATAAAGGGTAATAGGAAATCGCAAAGATGGTATTCTGCAGTTCAAACCTAGCATATTCTTGTCTTACTTAAGAATTCACCTTTTTCCTTAAGAGCATGGAATTTGTGGATGGAGTAGTTTACATCTGAAGTTTTAACACTCTATATGAGTACAGTTTAGTTCTTACTAGAAACGATCAAGTAAAATACAATTGATGTTATTCTCTGTATCAATTCTGATAAACCTTCTCTGGCAATCATGTAACTTAGGTAATAAAAAGGAAAGCGTAAAAAACCTGATTTTCAAAAATGTCCTCTTGCATTTCCTTCCACATTTCTAACTCCAGTGCTGCTTTGTATTCCAGAGTTTCTCGAGGTCCTGCATGGTCTCCTGGGGCACGGTGAGGCTGAGTGTGAGGGACATGCTGTTGTTGACAAGCACCTATATCCTGATATAATAAAAGTGGATTTTTCATTGGAACCTGAACTTTTCAAAGACATGATCAAAGGAAAAAGAAAGGATTTATATAAAATTTACTTGAGAAGAATCTGACACCATAACTTCTTGCACTTTGACAAGTCCGTAGTCTTCCAAGGTGATGGCATACGAAAGTTCTGCTATTCTGCTGCCTGACCTATAAATAGCATTAGAATGTTATTTAAATTAAAACTGTCTAAAGATACAGAAAGAGAACTGTGAGACAACACACAAAACAGCAAAGTTGAAGTCGTTCTGTGCAAGCTCAGAATCTCTAAACAGCTGCCTATGTCAGAGCCCAAACAAGCTTTCTTATGTATATTGTTGTTAGGGCCTGGTTTGTGATCTATGGCAAGCTTTCGGACTTAAACAGATAACTTGTCATTGGAAACCTACTTAATTAACAGGTTGCTATAATCAACACATCTCTGCAACAAGGGAATAATCTAAAATTGTACCTACAGTCTTAAATCTTTCTAATGATATAACTTAATATACAGACATTGCTGCTGATTTGAACTTAAGATACTCATTAAATTTCCTTAGATTGCCTTGTTTAGACTTTAACAGTAACTTTCTAGCTATCCACAATGAAAGTACCTTAGCATATAATTTGTCCTTGGATTACTAAAAATATATTTCTGGAAGCTTCAGCACAGGGAACTGGAAACTTTAAATCACTTAAATTTCTACCTGCCCTTATACAGTGAAACAATTTAGATAACAGATATTCAAATAAATTAATTTGAAAGCAGTTGTGGTTTCTGCTTAAAAACAGTTCGGTTCCAACTACCTCATCTCTAATCACAGTCAAAATATAGCAAACAAAGTTAGCCTTTTGCACAGAAAGATATTAAGATAAGGAATACACAGAAGTCCGGTAACTTTAAATTATCAGAAGTTTCACATGAAAGTATACTGCAGTGTAGACCTTATTCAAAAGAAAACCTCTCATTTCAGTGATAAACACTCAGTAAGGCAAATTACACAGTCACTTGTCACGTGGAAGCTGCAGAACGTATCAAGCAACAAGATGCTAAAGGAATTAACTATGGCTAAAGTTTTCACAGAAGTTGACTTTCAGCAAATATAGATAGACAACACTAACTGCGTTTAAGTGCATTATCAAGTTCCATCATCACACAGAAAAGATGATTGTCTAGACACTGATTGTGAACAGTAATCATCTTCAACAAGGACACAAGACAGAAGTAACTACAATTTGGGTTTTTTTTTAATATATACACACACATATATAATATACATATATATGTATAAAACCCCATTACTATGTAAATGAACATCTGTCTTTGGACAGACTATTAGCTAATACTGCTCTTTCTGATGTACACAAGCTGAAACCCCTGCTACTATCCTGAAAACAGGAGATGTCTCTGTTCTCTGGGTGTATCTGTCCTCCTAATTTTTACTGAAGTCAGTTGCATCTAAAAGCATACCATGGACAAACAATGTTAACTATTTTCTGGAATATTAACGCTTTCTATAATTGAGAAACTGACTTAAGGAAGTGCCTGAATAACATTTTTTTCAATTAAGCATTTCTTAATCTGTCTGTGAACTTTAAGGATTTATTACAATGACTTTGGTAGTTGAGTGGACATTGCCGAACATGATGTAGCAATTTAGCTTTTCATCTCTTGGATGCCTATTCCTTCCTCTGCATACTGCAGTACTCCACAGCCTATTTACCTATTCAAAAAGCCAAGGAGGAACAGCTTGCCGTTTTTCAGAGAAATATTAAACAAACAACTCTGTAGCAAGTTTTCTAAAGTTAAGTATTTTTAAAATAGTTTTACCCTTGTGCTGCTGTGAAATTGACTGTTTCATTACAAGTCTGACGCCAGCATTGTTCACCATTCCCACCCAAGAAGCGGATTTTTTCTGAGGCCAAAACATTTGAAAGCTGAAGCCTTGCCACTCCTAGAAGTAAGTCTTTGGCTGTTTTATCCTTGTGCCACAATTCAACCAGCAGAGGCAATCTGAAACAAAGAAGTGATCTTAGTGTCAAGCATGAAAATGAAAGAGGAACCATTCTTATTCAGAGAAACTCACGTTCTAAAAGTAACTTCTTAAATCAGTGATGGTTACAAATGTCAAATAATGAGCTGGTTTTACTGCCTTTCACTTACAAGAGTAAGACTGACTGACTTTGTACCTTCTCAATCACTTGTTCAGTAGATTATCATTCCTTTTTTCAATTATTAGGAACTAAAAATGTTACAGTGAAAGTGACTGACAGAATAATGCTAACACAACTTGATCATCTTCATTTATAACTACTTACAAATGAATTTTAGGCATTGTCACCCAAAGTACATCTCCTTCCTATACTCCTACTTCCAAAATAACGCTATTTTAATGAGTCTTTTTTTACATCTTTATCTTTTATTGAAAGCTGGTGGAACTACTGGGAGAACTGTTTTAAAGCCCTCACTGTGAGCTGCTTTCCAGATACCTGCTGTATTTTCAAAGATATCAGAGTCATTGCATATTAAAAAGAAAAAAAGTTACATATTTCAAGAAGTACTTTGTCAAAAATGATGTTATCAAGCTTTACCTTTAAAATTTACAGAAACAGAACATTTTTGTAAGCAACAATACCTAATTATGCAAGAGATGAAATCAAGAACTGTAGAATTCCTGACTTTAAATGTAATTAATAGAGAAACTGGAAGAATAGGCTATTAAGTATTTATTCGCATTAGCCCTTAAATTATTTACTAAATTCTAGAACTGATAATATGACTGCATTTACAACAAAATCTAGAAAAGCGCAATTAAGAAGAAGTTGTAAATTACTACCTGAAGAATGTATCTTGAAGCTGATGAGGTATAGTTGCAAAGTCAAATGCACAATACGACTTTGGAAGAAAGACTTCCATGTTTTTTCTAACTTCTACAGGTGGACTTGTCATAATAGGTGCTGCACTGCCAAAAAATGGGTATGAGTACCTAATAAAAACAATAACAAAGATAATAATTCTATAAATAGATAACTTTTCTTATACCTTCTGCAACAGGAAAATCAGTTTAGACACCATTTACTAAAGCACAAATTTTATTCAAGTTTTAGAAATTTATACTTGTTCGTAGAGCAACAGAACTTAGTTCTCATGTATTCATGTTTTCATTTACTTCAGGAATGATCCAGGTTCTTTATATTGGCTGTTGCTTTGACAAAACAAGTTTCAATAACCTGTATGTTCACAACCAGATGAACTCATATTTTACTAGAACTCTGCAATTTTTATATAACAGAGCAGACAAACAGAAAAATTTATATTCACGTGTAGATTATTACTTGAGAACATCTGTAACTATACTTACAGTTCAGACTAGACTAACATGCAATAACTAGAGGAGAGCAGGAGAAAAAAAAAGAATCACTTAATTCATTAGCTGAAAATGCAGCCAGAAAGTAACAAGAAAAGTAATTTTTCTCTTCACTTAAAGAGTGATGTTACTGAAAATCATAGTACATAAAAAGCATGAAGAAGTGGAGAAGCATAATGCCAACAATCATTCAGATTATGAAGGCTTTGTATTTACCAAGAACAACAAAAATAAATTGTACCTTAACATGCAATTTATTGGAAAACCAACTTCCAGACCACGTATACTTCTTAAGTCTATTGAAAAGCAAAAATGGTGAGAGGCTGCTGGAATGACAATTTTCTGTGTTGACACAAGCTCAGGAGAACTGGACACACCCACAGGGTTGGACTGAGATACTGCTACTAGACCACTATCAGCTGAAAACACAAAAGAGAATTCATGTGCATTTCTTAAACTTGTTCTGCCCAGAATAACAAAATATATCAAAGATTAGTGTCACATTTTAAATGCAAGTAGATAGGTTTAGGCTTCCCTAAGAGATTTCTATTCCTCTTAAAATAAATGAATACTGTGAAAAATAACCACTCCTTCTGTAAGTTACTGCCTCCAAGAAAAAACACCAAAAACCCAATATACTTTAAATCTTCTTATAGGATTGTAATATTTTTCCTTTCTTTATTAATCTCTGAAACTATGTAGGTTTAACTCACTGAAAAAGTTTACACCAAGAACAAAGACATTAAATTCTTCAGAAAGATGCTGTAAGACTTCAGTTTATATTAATTGTTCATAGCCGAGGGCATGAACGTAAGAAAAAAATGCATAAGAAAAAATATTTTTAGCAATTCAGGGTTTTTTAAAATTAACTAACTTATTTGAGAGAATTACAAAGACAGATTAACAGGTCAATTACAGTGCGTATGCAATGCAGCATCACCCTTGGCCCAAGATGAGGTTTAGCTGTTGAAGCAAACTAAAATGTGCAAAGCACATCTGCTTCTGTCACAGAACCCACACACTGCGGCATTCTTTTTATAATTTAGGAAGCAGAAGCAGCTGCTCAGTTGCATCCAGGCTTCTCACATCCTTACAGTGAGACCCAATACTGCCTTCAGAGAGTAAAACATCAAACTACAAGTTCCACAGACAGGTCACCAAAAGGTGGTCTTAAACAAAATATCTTGAACATTTTTCAAGTCTTTAAGGGCTATTTGGGCTACCAAGCCTCTACAACAAGAGGGAATGAAAGTGTCAGATAAAAACTCAACTGCCTTTTGTGATTGCTACTTGTTCTGATACTTCCTTCATAATTATTTAAAACGTTTCCACTTTTGTAATTTTTAAAGAAATACATCATTACTAGCATTGATTTTATTCTTTCCTCCCTTTTCTGTTTTTTTCCATTAACATTACAAAAAAGAAAAACGCCGTAATATTTCAACATCAGCTAGTTAACACAACATATGAATTAATTTTAAGTGATTCAGGCAAAATGTCAGTAGATTGCTTGGTGCAAAGAAGTGGCTGAGTGGAATTTTACGGTCATCACAAAACAAAAAGTACATACAGCTTACTGTTGGTACTACAGTCAAATTTCATTTAATGTAGTAAATTCAATAAATTTTGCCTTACTGGGATTTTGCAGATCTAACGGAGGTGATTTTGCTTTGGTCTGAGATTTCAAAGCTGGAAGCTCTTCAAAAGACTGTTTGTTAATCTCTTGAGGGGAGCCAGCCACCAGCCCTGAAAGACAAATGTGAAGTGACATGTTTTACATCTTACCAAAACAGAATTATAAAATTACTACTACTATTAATAAAAAAGCACAATCATGGATTTCCTAACCAGAGATTCAAACCAGCTGCTGGATTAACAATACTTTCTTTTTTACATTCCATATAAAGGACTTAATCCTTGCTTAGAAAAGATCAATTAAGATGAAAAGAAAATTTGGCTGAATTAGCAGACAAAACCCATTCTAGGACACAGATTTCCCTCTACAGAACTGTGCATCTTTAGGACAAATCTCAAAAGACCAGCAATACAAATATCATTAGAAAAAAAAAAAATCCACTTTATTCATAAACCATCTCTTAAGAAGATTCATGTCCAGCAACACTTAGCAAAACAACATTTTTTGATATTTGTTTTGTTATGTTATTTCTTATCTCTGCTCATCTTCCACTTTTCCACTACCCAGTTCTCAAATCAGAAACAAGTCTTCCTAGGGCTTGGGCTACCAAGTCCAAACAAAAGGATCATGTAAAAACAAACAAAATGACCCAGTTGCTTGACTTTGTCCAGGAATCTGCACTATACGAACATTTCTCTTCACAAATTATTACCCACATAGTAAATCCCTTAGAGAACTTAAAAATCCTGTATTAGCCCTGCTTTTCTATTGAATAAGTTAACATTAGACTATTTCATCTGTTGAGCAAGTTCAGTTTCTTCAAAGGCATTACACTAAATCACCTCATTCACAATTCAGGAAATTCCAAAAACTTTTGTTAGAATTTTTCAAGCTGATGAGCACCCCCATCACTTGTAATCTACACTCCCCCAAATCCCTAATATGGCTCTTGCAAGTGTATTTAAGAACGATCATGTTCAAATCATAACATTTATCCCCCTTCTGTTATTTGTTTTATGCAAATAATTCTGACTTGCTTGAAATTTGTCACCAGAAATGAGTACTACTTCATGAATATACTAGAAAGGAGTAGTACATGATTCAAGACCACAGTTGGCAACTGGGCAAAAAATTACATACCCTTTTTCCTTGGTTTTGTGCCTTTTTCAAACTTAAGACTTTCCACTTCACTTTCTGTTGCTACATCTTCTTTTGAAGAAGACTTGTCAGCTTGAGATGGAACATTCTGAGATGTCTGCTGCTGGCTTTCTGCTTTTCCACTAACAGGAGAAAGTTCTTTCTCCTGTGGCAGTTTGGGTTCAGTTGCAGCATTTAAGGGAATCAAAGGCTAAATGAAATTATATTTTTCTTATTAATCACAGCTTGCACTGAAAAATTCTATCTATGACATTTCATAGTATGAGATTATTTTTCACACATAGAAAAATGCTGACAGAAAGATTATTCATATAAAGCAATTAATTCTTTCAGGGTTTTTTTTAACACAAAAAAACAGTCAAATATGATTAATAAACACTAATAATTCTTTGATGTGAAATTGTGCAACAGTGTCTAAACCAACAATGAATGGGTAAGACATACCTGGGTAGTCAAGCTCTCCCTTTGAAGAATTACAGATACCCCAACTGTAGGAGCCAGATCTAAAGGCAGTTGTGACAGTTCTTGTTTAGCTCTATTCGGTGGAACAAGAACAAATGGTCCTTCTATTGCCACAGGGTGTTGGTCAATCTCCACACGTCCTTTCTTTAGTAGTCCAGACAGGGGAACTTCAGTGCTTCCAAGAGAATGGTCCCCACAGCAAAGATGGATCTGCACACACAAAGGCGCTAGAAAGTAACTGGCATGTGTGATTTGCACTGGAACTATGTGTGCACCCTCCACTAAAGGTAGCATACGTACAACAAGTTATCATCCCTAACCTAGTCCCTGCACGCTGAGAATAAGAACAGCTGTGAAATGTCATTTTGAGCAGGTGGGATTTGCTCACTGACAGGGCAGCAGCAAATCACTGCCCTTCTGAGGACCTGTCACATCATTCCTTCTGTAGGATAAATTCAGTACTCTGTGGCTTCAGATTCTTGTCCTTAATGTATAGGCATATAAAACGCATGACTGCATGTAATGAAAAACGTTACTTGAAGGCTTTGGGCATATATTTAGACACCACTTAGGTAGCAAGGATTTTTGGAATTAAGTAACTGTGATTTTAATTCCTGGCAAATATGATTAATTGAAAACTTGACTGAGCTGTTTTTTCCTTACACAGCTTAATATTTATACATGCAAGGGAAAGATGGATCTTAAAAAAACCAAGACATACTAAGGTAATCTATTTTCCTCAGTTACTATTTGAAACTTAAATACTAACTTGCTTTTTCCCAAATAAGAGTCACTTCAGATTCAGCAGATCAGAACACTGTAATTCCTTATCCTTAATATTTATTGCACTTAAGGAAAACTGCTGAAAGGTGTGAGCTGTCGGTATACATAATTAGGTGTATATATATACACACATGCACATCCATAAAAATACATCTATACACACACCCTAGTCTGGCAACTAGCACTTTTTACAACCAAAGTCTTCATTTTTGGAAAAATGCTAAAATTAAGAATCAGAACACAGTGCTCTGATCCTATATCTGAAGATTTAAGATGCTGAATGAGAAGTCAAAGAAAGAAAATTGTAAATCAAAATTTGGATCTGACCGCATAAGAACTTTAGTTCAAAAAGTTGATCTTTACACATGATGCAAACATGTATAGTTCTCCATATATGCACGTATATATCATATACTCTGTATTAAACACACTGTTTTAAGACTGTAAAGTAAGAATAAATTCCAAACACACCTGTGCATATGTTGCTCCAAAAAATATTTAAAGTTGAAGCAAAAAACCCCCTGAACAATACAAGATTTAAACAAAAGCATTCTTAAATCACCCTGCATAAAAACCCTATAATGAGGTGTATAAAGTAATTTTTTTTAACTTTAAAAGGTTCTAGACTCACAAATTACTTGCATAACTGTCTTATTTACCAGCTACATTATCAGAAACTACTACACCCTCACTCAATGAAGCAGACTCTTGTTTTGTAATAGTTTGAGCCATGCACAGATTGTCATAAAGACCCTAAGTACTACTCGATATTTAGAATCACAGATTGATTTTGTTTGGAAAAGACCTTTAAGACTGCTGAGTCCAGCTGTTAACCTAACACTGCTAACCCACCACTAAACCACGTCCCCCACTTAAAGGCAAGGCTAAAGATAAGCAATGTCCTGTAACAGCCAAAACTATCTGTAGTGTACTTAGAAACAGCATTTGGCTACAGAGCAGGGAAAAAAGACAGACCTCCCTTATCATTCACAAAGAGTGCTGAGGACAGTGATTTTAGAACTTAGGCAAGAGTGACCTAAGCAGCTGGCATGGGATTACCACAGGTAGCACAAAGCAGGACTCTGGGTTGCAGATGGTCTGATTGCAGCCTAGGCCCCAAAGCTCAGAGCTCGAGAGCAGCACATTAACTCTTTGAGATCGTATTTCAGCAACACCTTTTATCACTACATGTAAACCAGCTTGCTGTAATAGCAACTAATTAAAAAGACAGCACTCCACCTGAGCTAGGAAACTTGCTGCTATGGTTTCCCCCACATCAGCAAGAGAATCAACTTATATTTGAGCCAAAATACTCTAATACAATCTTAGCTTTGGAAACAGAAATGCTTCACAGATACAGCCTGAGACATACTCTATTTCTTTAATTTGAATTATTTATTTTCATTCACATTTGAAATTACAGCTTACCTGCAATTTTGACTGCGCACAAAAATAAACTTGAAGAATTTCTACTGTACTACGTATGCGAACTGAAGCTCTTTCTGGCTCGAAGTTCGGATTAATTAAATCAGTAAAAGGTTCATTTGTGACATCATTTCCCAGTAATGAGTAGTAGAAAAAAAATTCAGGTTGCCGATCAGGGAGCTTCATAGTACTAGGAACTAACTGAAAGAGATGCAGAAGAGAATAATGTATCTATCTCTTTCCTTCTGAAAGAGCAATTCTGAAGCACTAGTTTGGAAATTAGAGCCTAAAGTGACCAGCTGACCTAAATCCTAGCTTGCACTCCACATACAACTTATTCTATTGATACGCAAATTAGAAATGTTTTACTTTTTTTGAAGTAAAAAAACAAGCTCTAATTTAAAAGTGTAACAAAAACTTCCAAAATATTCTCGATTACCTTTAAGACTTGTTAACACCAAGGGTTCTAACTGACATGTGTTTAGTAACATCACGTACTGCACAAATACTCAGAAATAAGCTGTGCCTTCATAAAGTATTTCCAATATAAATAATGCAGATTAGATACTATTATATAATTTATGTGATTGAATAAAAGTCCAAAACAATGAACATCTACTTTATCCTGCAGGCAACTGCGAGTTCAATGCCTAAAATGCATGAGCCACCCCAGAATGATCACGATAAATTTTACTTCTCAAGGTCCTACAGTTCTGATATGGAAAATTATTTTCCTGGAAAAAAAAAGAAAGATTACAAGACTGAAGAGAGTTTATCATACACTGTGAGTTCTAGACCAATTAAAACCATGCTGTTAGTACAGCATAAACACAGCAGCTGAGGTCTAAAACTGAAACAGTTATTAGCATAGCACTTCATCCAAGCTAGTAAGTCCTTCCCTCAGGCAATATATGAACACTGTCTTACATGCTTGAGAACTATTTTACCTTGTTTGAACCCCAGTGCATAGGCACCACGCTGAAGATGGTATTATCCATACACAAACTTTTTCACTACATTGTAGCAGAGAACTATGCACTTCGTAAGAATGTATAATTTAAAGTAAGTACAGCTTTAGCACTTCAAAAGAATTATATTTCATCTGCAGTCTGACATGTTAAGGACTTGATAAAGTTTTAAAATGAATACAAATTCACTATGGGACAACATTATTTCTTGGAATAAACTTTGAAAAGAATAAAAAAAACTAATTAGAAATGAGGAATGAGAGTGTGAAAATACTAACATGGGACAATACTTGTTAAAAACTACACAAAGCAAGGAAACAGACCTGTTCCAACTGCGTGGCAAACGCAATGGTTACAGACAAGACAAAGTGATCTCTGCAATACTCTCCTGGTCCAATTTGATGATAGCCCTCTTCTTCATTCAAGACAGGCACAATACTTTTAGCGTCTAGTCCAGGAAAAAGGGTGAGTACTAAGAGAGAAGAAATAAACATTAGTAACTAGTGGTCTTTATAATTGCTGCAGCAAGCTGATATATAATTGCAATTTTATTTTTAAGCATTACACATGGAAATTATACGTGGGAAGAAAAATTAAAAATAAAGGCTTCGATGTCCGGTACCAAAGCTTTGCAAAACACATAAAAGTCCCTAGGTACACTTCGGAACAGCTACAAAAATTCTGAAATTAACTTCTATTCACACAACTGTTATGTTGAACACCGTGCTAGACAGAATTCTAGTTCCTATTTTAATTTTGTGTTACAATGAGAAGCATTATAATGACTAGAAGTTTATTTCACTAGGTTAGATATATTATGTTTTTTTCTTTACTGTGCTCATTAAAGGAAATGCAGGACAGTAACTGCATATCACAATCTATTGGAACAAGTATGGTGTGCCATACCACTGATCTTTAGAATGTTTCATTTAAAGATATTTCATCAGAAGTCCTCAATGCATAAAACACTGTATTCTGGCTTGCTAGTTTCTGTTCTGTAGTGCCAGTAATTCAACACACTCAGCCCTCAGGTTACACCCTCACATTAGCATTTTGTGAGCAAAAAAGGTCCGTTTCAAATACCAGAAGCTTTAGACAACTTAAGCCAGTAAAGAAAAAAAGGGTATAAGAATACTAAATGGAAAAGTAACTGACTAGACTAGAAGTGGGTAATCCAGCTTTCTCATACCCAATCCCTGGAACACAACCTTCACAACTGTGAAAACCCAGAAGTTTGTTTTTCCCATTACATACATATGATATTGACTAATTTTGACATAAAAGAAATGAAAAAGCTGGCAAACTTGTTTGTAGTAATTATTCAACAGAAAAAATGAAATGGGAAACAGTGACGAGTAAAGGCAGAAAGGTCTTTTATGTTTTGCAGTGTCATGAGGAATAGGAGAACTTGCAGACAAAAAGACCACATAGGAAATGCAGACTAAGGAATCATTTACTGTAGCTCTTTGCCTCCCTAACAGATTTTACAATATGGAAAATTCCCTGTATTTTGCTGTAAACCTGAAGGAATGTAGTAAGCTATTTTACACTGAAACTTAAATTCTGTCTTAACCAATCTTGAAATGCAGCCAAGTCAGTGAATTCTGGGCCAGAAGCTTGTAAAACAGCGCCACAGACCACTCTGCTTTTACAAAATCACAGCCAGCAGATAGATGCTAGATTTAGAATTAGGGGAAAGGTACCTTCAGAGCAAGAACACAAAGCATTGTAAGGTATGCACGAGAAAATCCACTAGTTGTACCAAAAGACCAATTTTTCAAAAGTTAAGTAGATAGGCATTTGGGTGAGAGAGATCACGGCAAGATGGAAGTATGTTTTTGTTTTGGTGCTCTTTAAATCAAGTTTCTAAAAGACCTTGTTTTCGTTTTTTTAACAACTACTAACTTGCATTAAAAAAAAAAGAAACACATATGAAAAAGTGATTTGAAGGCACAGCACATAAAGGTACATACTAGTATAAACATTTGAGTTCCAATAGATTTTTGACACATTTCACTGATTTCTTTTGAGAAAAATGAACAAGAGAATCCAGAACTGGAATGAGTCCCAAGAGTAAGCAGATGTAACTACAAAAAAAGTTAACAATAGTACATAATTTAAATATCTAAAGATTAGAAGAAGAACCCACTAAAAAAGAAGCAAGCCTACCCAACAAATGAGACATTTTACTACAAGCCCAAACTACTGAAACTTTACCTTCTATAAAGAAGTTCTTTTTCTATTTCTTTCATAACTTTCCAAAGCCCATAAATACAAGTTAAATACCCAAGGGACTTAACTATGAGCCCCTGATTTTCATTTTAAATACCAGGTGGTTTGCTACTTGTCCCCTAAAAGTCACACAATTACCACAGTAAACAATTCTTGAAAAACTTACTACCACAAGGTACATTAATCAGTTGTAAAGGATTTGCACTGGAATTGCTGTGAAATTAAAATTCTCATGAGACTTAAAGCAACACATTTGCAACAAGTGATATCTCATCTGGCACAGGAAGATTTTTAATTCAAAGTGAGTGATTTCATGTTACTTACCCTTCCCTTCCCTAGGGGGTGCCTCCTTTGCTTTAAAATCATCAGCTAGTGCTTTTGAATCTGCCTCCAATGTAACACCAATCTGTATTTCAGGTTTAAACTTAGGGTACTTGTTACTAAGCAAAGGATACCATTTAGGTGCCTACATAGTAAAAAAACAAAAATAAGACTCAAAAGCATTAACTACAGAAAAAAAATAGTATACTACTATTACAGAAAACTCAGTCTTAATCTAGCACTTATACTTCATCATCTACATAAATACATTTTAGTTTTTATTTCTAAAAATTTGGTCTATTTAGCACACTATTGTAATAAAATATTCTATAGAACGGTTACTGGATAACCAGCTGAACATACTGTTTTTTTTCTACTGACTTAGTGCAAAAGTTAGATAGAGAAATATACCATGAATCTTTATTCAGAAAACCTTCAAGTCCTCAACTGCACAGTATGCAGTTGAAAATTCTCTAGAAGAGAGATGTCAAGATACGACCCATATCAAAGTTATGTTTTGATCAAGCTTGATACAAGGTGTTAGCTAATTAGATTTATATAAACAATTATATTGTGCTTACTCTATGCTGTATTAAGGGGCTAGAAATGACCACCTAACAATCTCCTTCCATGGAGGCCCACTGGAAAAAAACAACTTAAGAGCTGATTTGATGATGGAGACTCAATTCAATTCAATTGTTCCACATGTATTGCTTAGATAAAAATCTTCCAGTTGATTAAATAATGAGATTGTGTAGATTAAAATGTTGCTAGTGATCCCATTATCCAATTCAGAAGTAAGCAAGATTAGTACCAACAGTATTTTTTTATTTGCACATGTTCTCAGAGTCACGATGTCTCTCCTCTTACGAAAAGAAACAAAATCCCCCATACAGCTTAGTCATGCTCCAAAACGGGACTCAAAAATTTAGTCTATACTTTAATTCAAATTAGGTTATCTGTAATAACATTGTTGTCAAAACAAATTTTTAAATCTTTAATACCCCATAATATACCTGTTTCTTTTCATGTGCAGCCCTTAAATCCAGTACAATATAGCCTATATTCTCTTTAGTTGAAGATACAGGATCCAATGCAAAACACTGGAGTTTGATAGGTGTACGCTGAAGCCTGAAAAAGTAATTCAGTTGACATATTAAATATAAAATGTATCTCTGAAAATAGTTCTCAAAGATCGTTCCTAAGTTTCCATCAAGCCAATGATATACTTGTTATATAACTAGTTACATTAAGTCAGAAACTGAATTTATATTGAACATATAAAAAGTTATCATTAAGTGAGGGAACAAACATGTGATTCAATTTTTTAAGAAGAGTGTGTTGGTGTCTCGGAATCTCAAGTGCTATTAAAAATACATTAGCTACAAATAAATACCTCATGCACATAAAAGAAATAAGCACCGCGCCTCACACAAAACTTGAATTTCACTTGTAGTGGCATCTTAAAAGCAGCACTTGTGGAGAAGTTTTTTCGGCAAAGCACCTGACTACTTCAAGGCACAGATAAGACATCTAGCACATGGCAAATGCAGGCATCTTTGTCAAATAAAAACAATATACTCTTTTTATCTTCTTTGGTAATATGGTCATAATATTACAACCTGCAAGTCGTAAGACATGTAAAACTAAATGTCAGTTATGGAAATATTAAATTTCTCAGCTTACCTACTTGACATATTCAAAAACTATTTACAAAGGCTTTTCAGATTTGAAATTAAGTTAATTTTGTGGCATAGTGCACATAAGAAAGCTTGGCTGCAATATTTTAATTATAGCGCTATTAATTTGCTCTAAGAGCCTGCGGAGTGTTTTTTAGTAGGGTAAAAACATACCCTTTAGAATTTTTAAACATCACTTATCTTGCCACATACTACCTTTTTTCGTACATTAGTACATTTTTTCACAACATTATAGTAGACAAAAGTAAAAGAAAGGTTCTAAAAACCAATTCAGACTGCAGCAACACAAACTGCATTTTACTAACGGTAAAGACAACAAAATTAAGTTTTATCGGCAAGTTAGACTTCACGTTTTAACATCACCTGTGCTGATGAAGTGCTTTCCTATCAAGTTCCCAGGCCAATTCTGTAGCAAATTCTGGCTGGTCAGTATGCTCCACAGGGTCAGTAGCTAACTGTTCACCATCTAACCGGGCTTCAACTACAAGCACGTGCTTGGGTCGTTTTGGGAAACAGCGACCTGCAAAAATGTGGCATTGCATGCATCATCACTAAAAGAGATACAAGAGCTCAGATTTATGCCATAAATCAGTTATGTGAAATTAATTTCCCATATCACCTTCCCTGCTCTGTTCTTAAAAGAAAAAGTGTTTGCATTATGCAGAAATACAAAAGAATGTAACATGAAACAGACTATTTTTGAAGAGACAGGGAGTTAAGTAACAAAGAACAAAGTAGTAAGCAATTAAAATTATTTGAGAAATCTATGATTGGCAATAGGTAAGGGAGCAAGCAGAAGAAAGTTTCACTTTACTTTAAGTGAAGCTGTTATGACTGTCCGACATGAAAATAGAAAAACATGATCTTATAAAAGTAGTGAAAGGTGTTTTTCCTGCTACTTGCTGAAAAAATAAAAATCATTCCCAGATTAGGAGACTGCCTAAAACTGTATAGGACTGGTCCTGGTTCAGGATCATCCAATATTTTGATTTGAAACGACAAAGAGAAGAAAAAATTTATTTATATCACATTGTGGGGAGAGGATACTACAGGCATATCAGACACCAGGATCTTATTTAAAAGCTCCTCTGGAAACCACATAAATGGATAGAGAGATAACAGGATTTACTTGAGAAAGAGAAAGCATTCAGCCACAACAAACCAAACCCCCACGGATCTTCAAAATACCCTAAAACAGAAAAAGACATTCCGACAAACAACTCACACACAAATTAGACCACAGAAACGAAAACCTGCAGGAATTCAAGACCAATAACTAGATACACCTTTGAGTCAACACTACCAGAAAAAAACTTAGAGTGGATTGTTACGACGGGATAGAAACAACGGAATACTACTGAAAAAAGCCCCGAACAAAACAACAAAACCTAATTCCTCAGGGAAAGGTAGCTACTTTTCTCATTTATTTAAAGCCATACATTGCGTAAATACCTCGAAAACCTACGGGAGGGTAGCCAACCCTGGCCTTAAGATACATACGTCCAAAGCTTTATTAACAAAATCGGTTTACTCAAGGCTGCTCGGCTTACCCCGCTCACGCCACCAGAGGAAACTCCTCGGAGGTAGCGATCAGCCCTCATCTTCCCCTCAGAACAGGGGACACTCAGCAGCCGAGAGGCCGCGACCCTCCCGCCCCTCCCGGTTACCTTCCAGCACGGAGACGACGATCAGCAGCCGATCTGCGGCTCTGGAGACCATCTCCCCGCTCCGGCAGTGCGCTGCCAGGGCCGGGAAGCGCGGCCGCTCCCCAGGCGGAGCGGAGGGAACCGGGAACCCTGGGGCTACTCCGCCGGCCCTGCCGCCACTCGCCGCCCTTTTGCCGCCGCGGAACCTTTAAACACCAACCGCCGCCGCTTCCGCCCGGCAACGCCAGCCCCGCCGCTTCCGCCGCCGGCCTCGCCCCTCCTGGGGCCGGCACCGCCCCGCACCGCCCCTCACGGACCCCGGCACCGCCCCTCCTGGGCCCGGCCTCGCCCCTCCTGGG